TTTTCCCTGCCACTTCTGGTGTTTCAAAGTAAATGTTACTGATTTTCTGATTGCACTTCACATTCAGATGTATCTGTGATCTGAAAACATTTTTATTTCTATTTCTTTTTTACCTGTATATCACCTGCAGTAGCACCTCTCTTAACATCATAACGCACAACAAAATCACCGTTGAGGAGGGTTTCATCGAGTTCAGGATTTATCTTCTGTTGATCTACAGTTGGCTTAAATAAAATATGAGCCTGCAAAGCAATCAGAAGAAAAGATTTAAAGCAACATAACTTCAAGCTACCACCAACAGCACTACCTGGCAGCTGCTGCTTTACCTTGGTTTCATTCTGCACTTTTGTGAGCGCCTCAGTTAACTCATTTGTCATGAATGTGCTGTCTGTCTCCAAGAAGCGTATGCCCTGGGGCTCGAAGATGTGCACATCGATCTGACAGCAGAGAAGAAGTTGGTGTCAGCATCTCAGAGGAACATGGCTGTGCCCAAAAAACACTGCACTGCTCCCTGCCCAGCCCTCCCCAGGGCAGCTCACCTGGAAGTGCTTAACAAGCTGCTTTGGTCGGACCTTGATCAGCAGCTCAAACTTCCCCAGCTGCCGCTTCAACAGCTCCTCGTACGTCAGCTCAAAAGTGACTTTGCTGGCGGCCGCGATGCTGACGGACACGTGAAACTGCTCCAGTTTTCTGCCTGTGATTCTCGGGGGAAGAACAGAGATTGACCTCCTGTGGGGAAGGTTTGCCTGTGGTGGCCAAAATTTATGACGGGTGCTAAATAATGGCCAAGGGGCCACATGGAATAAATAAAACCAGAGTGGCAGGAAATCTTATTCAACATACAGGAGATTTCTTACATTGCAGACAGTATTATATGCATCACATATATTATATTAGTGTGCCACGGGTGCTGCATATGCAGCCTGAGAAATGGAGCAGAAGCCTCTGGGTGCCCCAGGCTGGGATCAAGCAGGACTGGGACTGAATACATGGGAAGCACAGATTAAATACACTCTGAAAGCATGATGTCTGCTCAAGTGCCACAGTCCCCTGTGCTTGTGGGGAAGCAGACTCAATGACTGAGCATCATCCCAGCCTGGCACAGTGCTCCTGTGTGACAGCAAGTCCTAGGGTAACACTAAACAGTGACACCTCTCAATGGAGCCCATTGCAGAATCAGATATAAATCATATATATATGTGAAAACTTATATATACACACACATCCCCCCCAACCCCTCTGTCCCAACAAGAACCCAAGGCTGCTTTTCACATTTATCCCCGCTGAGAGGTGGCTGGTTCCAGGGTTTAACCCTTCTCCAGCCAGACAAGAAGCCAAGAGCATCAGAGCAGCATTACTCATGGTGGCAACGTACTTGACGAGGCCGGCGCTCTGCCCGTGCAAGACCGCAGTGTCATATTCCTTTTGAGCAGAAGCTTTCTCCTTTATTATTCCTGGGTATACTTTACCATCGATGGACCTGTTTGGTTTCCATAAAAACTAATTAGTATTTGAAGGGGAGGGCTGGGGAAAGAAACAAGAGGAACACTTCACTTTGTAGCCCTTGGGGCATGAGCAGGGAGCATTGACTCACACATCCCTCCCAGTCCAGGAGCCATCACAACACAGCCCTGCTTCTTGCAGGGACTTGGGGAGGCTGGAGCAGGAGTAACACCACCACTGAGTACGTTTGTCACCCACCCTATGCAGCAGGCAGCCTTCCCCTGGCCACCTTCTTTCTATTTGGCTGCCTGCTACTTTGCCCCACAGAGGATATTGTGCAGGACCCTCCAGAGCTCAGTTCCTTGTGCTTTTTGCTCAGCTCCTCCTGAAAAGAAAGATGAACCCACCCACCCCGTCCCCAGAGCTGCCTCCTTCACACCACAGGTAAGGACTGTTCCTACATGGAGAAGTTGGTGATGAAGGCCGTCTTGGGTAACTCCACTTCAAAGGTTGCCTCTCTGGACTCATTAGCTCGGTTGACAATTTTGCTGGTGATGACAGTGTGAGCAAATCGCGATGTGACCCTGCAGTCCACGCGGAGGCTGTAGATTTCAATAGCATGCTGCAAAAAACAAAACAAAACAAACCAGGGTGAAATGGTGACACTCAGTTTTTGCTTCTAAGCAGTCCTTACCTGGGGGGTTATTGGAAAAATTTGATGAAGGAATGTACTTGTTGGGAGGTCTGGTCAGAATCTGTTCATGACCAGACTGGCCATCTGCTTATTCACATCTCTGCAGCTGCAGCCACAGCCCCACACAAAATCTGCAGCTACATCTCTGTGTTGTTGTTCCACAGAAGGCTTCTGTCCAGCCTTTTTCTGTGGTCTTCTCACCTTAGGGTACTCTGAAGCAGCTGCTGTGTCACCCCAATACATTGCCCAAGATTAACCTCAGAAGAATCACTTGCCTCTTTAAGCACTCAACCCACGGAAAGAGATCTGCTGGCTTTTTGCGCAACCATTTATTTGCTGTCCCAGCTGTTGACTTTGCTGCATGTTTTTCAGCTGGGTGCCTTGTGTCACACACGATGCTTAGCAGGTGTGAAACCCTGTGTGGGCCTCCAGCCCCTCACTGGTTGCATAAGCAGGGATGCCCTTTGAGCACTTGTGTCTCTCCTGGTCTGGTGCTTCCAGGGCTCCCAATGCCCAAGGGAGGAGGGAATCGTCCTGGAGCTGCCTGAGAACACCCCACAGGGTGGCTGGATTAGGAACTGCCTGGAGCACCTGCCTCTCCAAACAGCCTCCTTTTGCATTTGGGATGCCTGTTTTAAAGGCCCTACCCGTGTTTCAACAGTAGCACTAAGAAGGGTTGTTCTGGACATCACCAGCCTCACACTAGACCAATAGTTTATTGAAATAAAAAAAGCTCAGCATCAAAACAGATCATCCTACTTCTGTTTTTATTTTTCCAGCCTCACTAATCTTTTGAACAGCTAATTAATCTTTATTTATTTTGATAATTAATCTCCTGTACTTTGCTCACCAATTAATAGCATCCACTGGCCCCTTTATAGTTAGGGCACTGGCCAAAATTCAAAATTCACTAGCCATTCAGTACAAAGCTGTCACAGCTTTGTGCTCGTGCATCAGGGCAGGAGCTGTCACAGCCAATGCCATGTGAGTAATGGATGGATGTTTCTTTTTTCATTATACATTGCTAGAACGTGCTCCATCTACTGCTGCCTGCTGACAATCCAGGACAACGGGAAAAAAACCCCAAAATATTCACCAAGAGAATAATTTCCTGACCCTGGCAGTTTGGGTGCCTCTCCCTGCCTGTGCCTCCCTGCTGCCCGCTCCCAGCTGGAGCCCTCCCTGCCCAGCCTGGGGCTGTCTCTCCCAGGAGTGTCACTTCCCAAAGGCTTCCAAATATCCCCGAGCACCTCTGCTCATGTTTACTGCCCTGCCATGCTCAAACCTGCCCAAGGCACGTTCAGAGGGAGAGGTTTTGCAATGCCTGAGGAGCCCTGAGTTGTGGCTCACTGGGACAGCACAGGCACGTGGTGGCCATCACCACCCACAGAGCATCCTTCTGGCACAGAAGGAGCTTGTCCCATGCAAGACTTGGCCTCTTCAAAATCCACCCTGCCACCACGTGCCAAAGAGACAGGGACCTGCATCCTCTGCTTGCCCAGCCCCAGCAGCATTTTAGGCTGTGACCAGCACAAACAAGCACACAGCGGGGTGCAGTGTGGTGCGAGGCATTGCTGTGCCCTTAGTGAAGGGGGCAGAAGAGGACCAGCCATGGGTGTGCACCTGAAAGCAGTGGGGAGTGACTTGTGGCTGCTCCCCAAGGTGCCACAGACCCATATGCCACATCTGTGGCTTCTCGCAGAGCCCTCGGCCACTCCTGTTTGCCCCCAGCCACAAGACCTGTCCCTGCCTCCCAGAAACCCACCGCATTTTGGTTGCATTTCACACTTTTCTGAATAGACAGAATGGAAATAAAAACCTTCCAACATAAGCTTTCTCTATTTCTCTCATATTGACATTTTAAAAATAAGACCAGTTGCATGCACCCTGAGACGATACAAACCAGTTTGCTTCTCAAGATGGTACAAAGAACTGCCCACTCCCCTCTTCCATTCTGTATAGATCATTAAACACCCATCAGAAACCTCCGGGCACTGCAATGGTCCTCGTTTGGTCCTGCTGTAGCAGCACTGTGACAAGATCCAAATCCCATTCGGTGACCAAGGGAGGCCCATTGGTCCCTCAAATTTGATATTTTACATCCCTGGGGAAGAGCACGAGCAGACACATCTGCAAACGCTCTCCTGCCACATTTATACTACAACAGTCCAAACAACCAACCAAAAAAGCCTCCAAAGGACTCAAAGCTCTGAAATCACAACACAGGACATCCAAGGCTCCATAGGTGGTGGTTACCAGAGGAGTTACCTGCATTACCTGGCCACCTACCGCGATACCACCAGATCACCAAATGAGTAAACAAGATATTGTAAAAATAAACAAATACAAATAGAGCAAATACCTTTTGAGCAACAGTTTCTGCTAATACTACAAGTGAGGAAAAGACCATCAATGCGAGCAACTTTCTCTCCTCCATTTTGGAAAGATTAGATTTTCAACTGAAAACTGGGTTTAACTTAATCAGTTAATGAGTAACTTGTACTTGAGGATATTATGTAGACTTTGAAGAGACTCAGAAACTTAATATTTACATGATAAACATAGGTAAAACTTGGACTTGGTTAACATTTATTTTTCTAACAGATTTTTGCTGTTAAACATTAGAATTTTAATGTTTCATAATGCATAAATTTAAGAAATCTTTATGTTTTCCTTTTAAACTTAGATGTTGCTGCGGCACATGAAATCCCCCAGGCCGAGGAACTGGTCTGTGCAACAAGCTGCATTTTTGGATGCATGAATCTCTACTATACCTAACAGTTATAATTTGAAGGGACATGTTCTTAACATTATCTCAAGCACTTCAGAGATTTGGAGATTGCCAAGACATGCAACATTCACATGAGTGTTACAGCTGGTGACTTCTTCAAACTCTGTGCCTCCCTGCGCAACCAGCCCATGAGAGGTACAGAGCAGCCCTCTTAAAACATCCCTTTTTGCCTCCTCTGACAAGCTATAATCCTTGTTTGTCAAATAACAAAGTCAGTTGTGGCTTATCTTTAGCTAAACAGTAAAAACAAAGTAATCAAACCTTGCCTGGACTCCCGAGGGAGAGAGGCACCAAGTCAGTGTCTGTATGTACGTGTACAAAGACACAAACCACCCAGAACGGAGCGCAACCACAGCCACGCACAGGAGCACATCTGACACAGGTGTGACACATCCAGTCAGGGACTCTGCAAAGCTGCCTTTAACCCCTGCACTCAGCAGGGCAGTTTGCACAAAAGGTTAGTGCTGTCAGAGCTCTGCACTGGAAACTGAGTAAAATTACTATTTTTACCTCTTATTTTATAATAAATTCTTCATCCAACGGAGACGGAACATTTTCTGTGAAGTTTTTGTTGGTCAAAGGTTGGCTTGTAACCCTGGAAAAATAAATTCTCTTAAAAGTCCAATTTTATACACAAATAATTATGGACAGTGTTATAATAACATAATTCCTAAAATGCATGCTGACTCATGTGGTGTTTAGATAGTCTTCTAACACAAGACAGCTCGCATGACTATTTAAAAGGTACTTCTCCAAACAAGTCGTTGTAATATCTGCCTCTTCTACAAAGCATTTTAAACACATTGTGGGGAAATAACTGGGGTTTTAGGCAGTGGGGTAAAAAGACCCTGGGTAGAACCCATTTCAGAAGTTCATCTCCTCAGCCCTACAACTGGGGAAATCAAGGTGAGAAATGGGGGTAAAGGACCAAACAGTCACGAGCCATTTTTACACCACATGTCCGGGGCTTGCTTGATTTATTGGAAAGCTTTCAGTGGGCTTCCTTTGTTCATTCATTCCCAGCACAAGAAAGCAAAATGCTTGAAAATATCAACAGGACAGGAAAAATAACATCTCTTGGGGCTGTAGTTCAGAGGCTCTCTTAGGCACGTGCAGCCCCCGGTTCCTGTATGTATTTATACAAACACATGTACACAGGTACGTTAACATGCAACCGGCCGATACTGAAGAGATGCAATCCGGAAAAGCCCCCTATTCCCTCAGCCTGGGCAGACAAAGCCTGAATCCTGCACTCTTACCATGGTTTCCCTGCCCATCTGCCCTGTGCTGGCAGCTCCAGGGTAGCAGACAGCCTTTGCTCAATTAAACCTGCACTCTGTCCACACAAAGCCACTTTCTCCTATTGCTTTTTGACAGCATTTTCCCCCTTGTAACTCCATGGTAGTAGGTGATGCCATTAATTGCCTTAAATTAACACAAAGATCTGGTGGAAATACATACATCTGTGTTTGTTTCATTGCTGCTTTACAAAAAAACACCCAGATGGAGAGCATGTTTCCAGCAGCCTCAGATTTGCGAGGAGACGCTAATACAGGGCTCAACAATTTGTTACTTTGACAGATATTTATAAGTTCATCATAAAGATTCTGTTGAGCAAAGCCTGGACTTACAAGGCTTGTGCTTTACATAACTCTTCTTAAAAAAAAAAAAATCACTTCTTCCAGGCAGACTGTGTATACTACCTGCAAATACTGTATTATTTATAGCATGACATAAATATTTATATTTTAACAGAGAAAAATTAGAACTGCTATACATTTCATTAACTTCTACAACTCGTGTAATGCTTTAATCCCTTAAAATACACAGGATTATACACTTAGTAGCCCAAGATCCCCATGAGCCAAAGCTTTAGCTTTAATTAAGTGGATCTGTCATCCATTTTCTAATACTCATGTAAAATCACACGGATGTTAAGGAGCTGCCTTAACTGCTCAGATTTAGGCTGCGTGGTCAGCTCTGCCCTGCTCCTGGGTGCATGGAGCCAGCCAGCACCCGGGGAAGCTGTGAAATCTCTCCTGTGTTCCTTTGTGTCTTGCTGAAGGGAAATCTCATGCTCAGCTTTGTCCCCAGACTGAGCACCTTGCCCTGTTTCTGCACAAATGGCCCATGACAGCCGCCCACAACAGCCATCCCCACCAATGTTCAGTGCCTGTTGCTGCTGGGGCACTGGGCACCAATCCTGCAGCACCCAGCGCTTCTTACTCTGAGGAATGAACATGCTGTGAAATTACTTCAGATCCCTGGAGGAAGGATCTAAATCCACCATCACAACAGGAGATACTTTCGAGTGTAAAATGACCCAAAAGCTCAAACTCTGGGGCTTTGTTCATGCACTTCTCTATCACTATTCCTCATTATGATAATGAGGAAAAAAAAGAAAGAACATATATTTTCCATTATTGGACTTGTTAGATTCACAAGGATGAGGAAAAAGATGACAAAGCTCTCTAGGCAGCTTTATATCTGTTCACCTCACCTACGAGTATCTCCTGTCCAGGAGCAACAGCCAGTTAACTTGCACAGCAGCAAGGCTGGGGACAGGGGAGGATTCCTGCAATTCAGACAGACCTTACTGTCACAAATGGGGAGTGACTTTGTCCCAGGGATACACTTTTATCTCCAACAGATGTTTTTTAAATTAGGTCCATCTTAAAACACAGAAAAAGAAAAAAAAAAGATCCCTGGTCCTGAGCACTTACTGTCACACTGGGAAGCATCAGAAATAATTGAACATGAGGACATCCTGGAAACTAAGCTGTTGGCAAAATCCCAAGTTTCTGGTAGATAACTTACTTTGTTTCCCTGCCACATCCATGCTGCAGGTCCGTGGGACACAGAGGCTCTGTGCTTTGCTAAGTCAGCACCAACACAACTGAAGCCACATCTGACATACAGCACCCTCCTCCCTCCTGCCACCCAGTCTAGCAAACTCACAATATTCTGTCAGTTATCTTGTACAGAAGAAAGTGATAACAATATTTTGCCCCACTTTGTCCCTCTCCATACTTTTTTTAATTATTAAACAACTTCCTGCCAACTTCTCATCACAGATTAATTAATGAGGGTTTGTTAAACCCGATGCAGGGACAGCTGCAGTGTTATCAAAGTGGGAAATTTTCCCCACTGTGTTTGGTTTTGTTTTTATCTTCAAAGCTCTGGAAGGGGTTTTTCTCAGAGGAAAAGGCTGTGCTGAGTTACCTGTGAGGAGCCCGGGCCCCAAGGAGAAACGGTGTCCAGCAGAGACAGGAGCCAGGGTCTTGGCTGCAAATAGTAATCTTTGAAAGTGAAAAAAAATGGGGCAGGGCAACACACCCATGGTATCTTTAATTTTTAATTTTTTTTAGGGCAACCTCCCCCTTAAACCCAAAGGATTTGCTGCTGCCTTTTGCACATCCCACTCCACAGCCTCTCTGGGAGCTTTGTGGACATCAGCACGTTTTATCTGTCAGGTGTTTGGGACACAAAGGCAAAGATGATTATTATTCATGGTGCACAGAGACCATTGATATCTCTTTCATCTCTTACTCAGGTTTAACCAGTGCAAAATTAAAGTGATTCTTTAAATAAAGGTGGCACCTACCTTATCATCCCCAAATGTGCTCCCAAGGACTCGGGGTGTGAGACAAGTGTGGCAGCTGCCAACAAAGTTCATGTTTGAGCATAAAGATCCAGCTGAGGGGAATTACTCCAGTTTATAACCTCGGGGGAAAAGAGGTTTGAGGTTTAATGCAGCAAATTAAGATGTAAAAAGAGTTGCAAAAAAACAACTTCCACTCAGAGTGGGTTTGCTGCTGTACAGACACTCAGCAGGTTGTTCAGTCCGGAGGGACATGGCGCCTGTGCTGCCTCCTCGCTTGATCCAACAGAACCTCCAGGATGTGAGGAAGAAGCCACTGTGGAATGTGCTGGAAGCCCTCCCTCGGTGCTGGAGCACACTGACAGCCCGGCATCTTGCCCCCCACAGAGTCGTTTGTGGGTAAACCCCGGTGCTGCTGCGCTGGGGGCTGTGAGGGGCCCTGAGGGGGAGGGCGGGAACCCTGAGGGGCCCTGTGACACACCCCAGCCCTGAGGGGCCTCACCGGGGCGCCGCTGCCCTCAGCACAGATTTGGGTGAAATGTCCATGTTTCTGAGACATCCCTTCCATCAGCTCCTCCTCAGCTCCCTCTCGGTGAGTGCACAGGGTGAGGACATTGCACTGACACTACAACTGTGTCACCTGAATGTTTGTTCTTTGTGTCTGACAGAGCAGATCATAGCTTGGAATGACAAAGTCTCCACAGAATTAATCTAAGCCTAAATTGAAATTAGACACCACAGTGTGCCGAGCTGTGTCCAACAATCTTTTTTTATTAAACCATTATAGCAAATACTGTTCAAAACATAGAAATAAAACACATAATAAAAATCAACATTGCAGTTTTAGCCTTTGATGTGAGTCTATTCCCTACTTAATGACTTACAGTAGAAATTAGCTACTTAGGTCTACAGTGACTTTCGTATAAGGGGCAGAAATCCGTGAAAATGTTGTGACAATCATCGGGGTGAGACACATCCAGCTCTGCTGTCAGCCAAAGATGCTCTTGGCTGGCTCTCCTTTCGGTTTCTCAAAGACTGTTTCACCCCCTGTCCGATCCCGGCTGAATATGGAGGGTGCTGCAGAGCCCATTTGTTCTTGGAAAAGAAAACCAGGAGAGGCAATCAGTGAAGTCACACCACAAATTTGGGGAGTAAGATGAGTGCTGCTGAAATACATATATACATATTTGATAAATATTTCATCTGTCCATCAGCTTCCCAAACCTCATAGCACAGCCCTCCCACCCCAGGCAAGGGGCAGCTGCCAGCGCCTGTTGATGGTTGCTACCATTGACTGGCCCCAGATCCTCGCAGCTCCTTTAGAAACTTGGAAACTACTGAGGCCCAGGCTACTATGCTTAAAAGGGGTTAAAATTAATCATTTTTCCTTATATTCACCTATTGGTGATGGAAAAGCAACACAAAACCAGAACATCGGGGTGTTCTGTGCAAGCAGCCACTCTCTTCTCTCTCACTTTGTGCCCTTTGTCCCTCCCCAGTTTCTGCTTTATCTCAAACACACCAAATTCATCCAACGGAGAGACCAGAAATCCCCAAATCTATGACCAAGCCTCCAACCTTCAACTTGGGCAGTCATTGGCATTGACTATGGTCGCAAGGCTTGGTTTGAACCTTGGTTCAGAAGGCAAAGTCAGGGCTCTCTCTCCCACTTTCTCCAGACAGGGAGAACACTCAGGCCAAGCAGAGCCCTGTTGGCACCTCTTGGTGCCCTCAGGATGATGGATGCAAACCCCCTGCACAGCCAGGCCAGGCCAGGGTCGGTGAGCACACTTTCAGAGGTGTACCCTTTCACTTAAAAAGAGCAATTAAGTTGATGTTTTACTTTGGAAGATTCCTTAACTGCTTCCATCAAGGAGACTTACCACACTGCTTCATCACTTGGTAGGTTTTGGATTTAATTTCCTGGTTTTTGGAAAGGTTTCCTCTAGCTCCTTTGAGGTCTTCTTCCTTCACTGGAGGACGCTTCTTTTTCACAGGAGCTGGCTGAGAAACAGACATATTGTCCACACATCAGTATTTCGTGCTTAGCTGCATAGGGAACAGAGCTGCCTTAACCCAAAGGCTACAACATACACAGCTGCTAATACAATATTGCACCTATTTCAATTCCAAGACTGTGCACTCAGCTACTGCAGATCTTTGCACATCCATGATTCCGCTGCCCTTCCCAAAGCCTGCTGCCACCATTACTGTTCAGTTCTGAAATTGTCTTCTGATTGTACAGCCTTTGAAAAAGGTTTTTGGGTTTTTTTAAATTTATTTTTAAATGTTCTCTATCCAGCCCTGCTGGGTCATTCTGCAAGTACAGGTTGGTAATTCAAGAATTTGTCCAATATTTGGCAAGGAAAAAAACCTTCATTACTAAATTGTGTTTGTGCCTCAGTTTACTCACTACTACTTTGGGAAATTGGTCAGAGACATTCTGAAATCTGGCTTGATTTAGTTGGAATAAACTTAACACTTCACCTGTAGTTATTGATCTTAAATTTAGGGAACAGAAGTATCTGAGCACTCAGCAGTGTTGTCTAATCTGAAACACAGGACTCAGAACCCAAAGGAGAAGAAAATCTAGTAGAGAAACATGCATCATCAGGTGGTGCACTGCAATGTCCAAGTACTAATCCGTTTACAGTTTATCTTGCTAGAAGAAAACCAAGATACCATGGGTTCACATCAGCCCTCATATCCCTACCTTTAAATTAGCACTTCAAAGTCAGACACAATGTCAATCAGCAGCAGTAGCACCACTAACAATCCTTCTTCACTTCAAATTCACAGACTGTGAAGGTCCCACCAGGCAGATGCTCCAGCGGAGTGCAAGGGCACAGGAAATATGATTAAAAAGAATAAAAGACCCCCACACTCCAGCTCTAACATTACACACTGAATCATCAATGAGAAACTTCTCTGACCATCGATACATACATAGGACTTGTGACATTTGGGTTCTGGCAGCGTTGGAGACCATTTATACATTTCTAGGCACTGCCTGTAAAGCTAAAACAGTTGTGGAGGGAAACAAATGCCTCCAGGCCCAGGAATGGCTGGAGCAGCATGTCCCAGGGAGCTTGGAGAGACAGGGGCTGGCTGCACCAGAGCCTTCGGCATGTTTCCTACCAGCTGTAAATTCCTAGGAACGCTCAGAATAGCTCTCCCTCAATCCCATTTGCATGTGTTGTGGGAAACAAAACATTCACAAGACCTCTGGGGAAAACACTCTACAAGTAGCCAAAGCAAGCAAGGGTGGTAGCAAACCCTTCAAAATTCACAACAGCTTTTGGTACCAAACATGTCTCCAGCCAGGGTTACATTTGTAATGACAACTGACATGTGATGGGAATGGTCCCCCATAGCTGCTCCACAGGCAGCCAGTACAGAACTGTGCTGGCTCCAACACAGAAAGGGGAAAATACTCCTTGTTTTGTTAACAGGAATATGAAACCTGCTAAGGTCCTTCATCCATTATTGCCAAGAGACAATAACTGCCAGGCTTCTTTCCACCAGGACAGGGGACTTCTTGGAAACAGGGTAAGGAAAGGAGACACTTGAATGCACTGAGACCCAGCCACACTGAGCAGAACTGTTGAATTTCACCGTTATTTCAAAATAAAAACTCTCATGCTTTGATTACAGGTGGATTTTCCAGGAGGACAGCTGCTATGGATTAGCTGGCCCCCGGCTAAAAAGCAAAAGAGCTGCACAGAAAAGTTAGTGTGAGCCACCGAGGTGAGTGCTGGACCTGCCAGCACCAGCAGCTGTCAGCATTGCAGCCGCACAACCGCTAATTGCTCCCAACGTAAGTGCGTTTGTAAGCAGCGTCTGCCAGAAGCCATTCCCAGCTGGCACAGCCTGCGCTTTATCTCCTCCTGTCACAAGTCAAAAAGTGTTTGTTTACAAGACATATGACCAGTTTAAGTCTCTCCTTCTTCGGAGCAACAAAAATAAGCTGAATTGAGTTACTCTACACTGTTAAAGTGTTTTTCCCTTCTGTCCTCCCCATGTTCTTACTCTGCATCCCACCATGTAAAACTGTCACAGTTGGGAGAACTCTGCCAGGCACATGTAGCTTGTGTTGAAAACATAACACATGAAAAACTCAACGTTTTTGAGCTAATTTTAAGATCACTTTGAAACACCGATTATTGGGGAACACAGTAAAGACAAACCATTAGTTACAAAATGAACATAAAACTGGGGAATACAACATCTCAGTCTCAAATATTGTATCTTAACAGTTCTAACTTTCAGTCACACTCTCTCTTCTCCTCCATGTTCATACATTAAGCTTTACACAGTAGCACACTTCAGGATAGCCACATCCTTTCAAAACCACTGCCAAAAGTTCAAATCAGTGTCTGAGAAAGTGTGTTGGAAAAGCAGAAATCACTCCTTCTGTGGAACAGCCCAAACCAGAACAGTGGAAATGACTTTTCCTTTCCGATATAAATAAAAATATTTATGGTAAACCAGAACATTTTAAAACTAAATTAACCATGTAGAGGGCAGTTGCTTTCCTTCTTCATCAAATAATCCCTCCTAGCAACTTGTTAAAATATATAACCACAGCATTTAAATACTTCAACATAATCGAATAAGACACACAGCGCAGAAAAGCTGAATTCACTGGTTAATGAGAAACGTGCTCATCAGCTATTCCAAGCAAACCTTTTAAAATGGTAACACATTTGTCAGGCTCTGTGCTCTAACGAGAGCCAGCCTGACAGATCTCCCCATACCTGTGACATAACTGCGGAGCTCACTCAACCGTAATCCCTTCCGAGGTTCTTTCCCGGCTTTGATTAAATCCAGCCTGGGCACTCTGTGAACGCCTGTTCTTTCCCCTCGACTTATATAGAGCATCTAACATGAAGTCATTAGCTGGGTCATTTTCCCAAAGCAGACCCCAGGATGATTCAGGTTGACAGAGGCTGTTGTTGTTGAAAGGTTTATTCTTAGCGATGACGAGGGTTTGCAGTATTTGCTGTGCCCTGTGCCTGGGGACGGATGGAGCTGGGGCTGATGAGAGCAGACAGCTGTGGCAGCGGGACTGCGGGGAAGCCCGATCCACCACAAAACGACTTCCCGGGGAGTCCGCTGGGGCTCTATTTATAACTTTAAAAGGCAAAAAACTTTGTTACAGACACAGAACTGACTATGAACTCTTGAGGGGGGAGAAAATTTTTGTGTTTCTTTCCCAATGTAACAAAATACGCATTCTCAAAGATTATATAAACCTAACAGCCAAAGCGTAACACTGTGCCCCAAATCACTTTTGCACTGGGATCTTTAACAGAAGAGTATTTTGGAGAGTTAAAGTAGGACATGGTTTTACCTTTACAGTTCTATTGCTCTGATGCTGGCTCTTACACAATTAAGGGTATAAACATCACTTTCTACTTACAGCAGTATCAGTAAGTTTAATCATTTCACCTGTTATCTGTATAGGAATGGATTACTCAGGCATTAATAAATCAGCGTTCCTCACTGTATGTGCTGACAGTAGTAATTTTTTTTCCCAGAACTTCCAAGATTTTTTTTCTCTAAACAGTTAAAAAAAACCCCCAACTCTAAACATGAATTCTAATTGTTATTACTAGGAGAGGGTTGGGTGGGGTTTTTAAAAATAGTTTTTTACATTAATTCTTTGCACCATGCAAAAAAATCAGCTTCTGTGACTGTACTCAACACCTACAAAGAACCAAGACTCCAGCCAGGTATGTTGCTACGGGGAAGGCAGATGTGGCAGACCTCCAAACATCTTTTACTAGAAACAGTGACTGCTGTAGCAATAGAAGTCTGCCCCAGCCTTTTCTCGAGCTCTGTGTTTTGTTTAAGCCACAGAGCAACACAGGATGTAAAATAATTTTTTTTTCCATTATGAAAACATGAAATCAACAGCACAGCACTAGTGCCATACGATCAGGACTACGAGATTTGTCAGTTGTGAACTATCCCCCAGGCCTCCGGTGTCCATTTTGCCTTTAAACTGAACTCTTTCCAGGCCTAAGATGCTTTCTTCTACGTGACTACTGGGGGAATTATCTGTAGGTTAAGAAGCAGTTTGGATGTTCTGTACTTAGCCATTCCTTATGTTGAATTTCTATTTTAAACCTGTGGCTTAGTAAAAGTTTCTGTGGAACAGCAGTACCTTTTAGTAGGCTAACAAAGCAGTCAGAAAAAAACATCCCCATTTAGAAAAAATAGATTTTTTTCTATTGTACAAAGTAAAACCTCTCCTTTTCTACTAAGATGTTTCTATATGTTTTTCAGCCCTATAAGCATCTCAGTTCTGATGCTATCTATTAGAACAGGAAAATAACATTCTGCATGTTTAAAGCAAATATTTAGAATTCAAGACACTGAACTATTTTTTCCCCTTCAGCTTTCAAAATTGCTTCCTTTAATTTGTACTACATATTCCTCACTCAACAAAAATTATGCTTTCCTGGCAATTTAATTTATACAAACAAAATCATTACAGGTACAACATCAAAACACTTCCAGCTTGCATGCTGTTTGGGGGTAGGAGATGAGGTGCTTCAGAGGTAGGCAGCGTATCCTCCAGTTTCCAAGACATCTCCTATAGCCCAGACAATTCTATTTTCTTTGATTATACATTTCCTAAACCCAATGCTGAACAACATGCACAACCATTTCCTCTTATAGACCATGGGCCAATTGTTCTGTACAAAAAAACAACCTAAATCTGCAGTTACTTACATTTCAGAGCAGAAATCCTGTTCACCTGGTTGAGGTCTTGAGATCTGTTCAATAGGACAGGAATGACAATGAAACAAGATAGGCTCATTTATTGAATAGCGAATATTAAAAATGTAAGTTAACCCTCTTCCATCTTCCACTGCAACACTGTGGAAAACTCCTTTGCTGAGGAACAGCTGCAGCTAAAATATGGCAAAGACCATGGACAATTTAGTGAATGCACAAGCTCCTGGCCTCTGTGCTCTCCAGGACACACAGATCTTACAGAACACTTGACTTCTCCTCCAGGAAACTGCTAAAATCCCTCAGTGGACTGACAAGCTTGACAGGTTGAAGATTATTCTCTGAATTCCCGTTAAGGATGCAGTCAGTACGGGGCTGCTTGTGCGTAGTAGGTGGGAAGTAAACAAAGTAATGGGTAAATGTGACAGAGGAGCTACAGAGGTGGCAATGGATCAATATCGTGCAGGTCCAGCCCAGCAGAACACACTGAACTGCTCCCACCAAGACAGGGAGGGGTGATAGCAACAGTAAAGCAGAAATCCTGTTCTTAGAGAGCTATCTTGGCATAGAGGTATCAAACTGACATCATTTGCAGCCTAAAAAAAATAAAATAAAAAAAAATATTGATCACATGCACGTAGTCATGTCAGCTCCACAGTGAGCCAGATCTTGTCCTACATGGTCCTTCTCATTCCTCCAGTGTGCTGAAAAACTGATGGTAGATACCTTGTCATACCTCCAGTGAACCTGGAGAGTAAAATGGCACCTTTCTGCCCAACAAAACAGGAAAAAAAAAAAATCAAGCTAGGCTACACTCATTTTGTTGGGTACAGTAAGGGAAGTCCACGTGCTTGCTGCAGACACTTTGGTAATCAAAGAAGCTGCTTCCGTGGAGCTTAAGAGACAACTCTGCACTATATAAGACAGCACACAGGAGTGATGTCTTCTTCAGACAGTAAAGAATCAGCGCTGCTTCCCCCTTCCCCTTCTGTGTGGTTTTGGGAAGTAGCAGAGACTAAAGCAAGCAAGGAAGACACTGGTCATCTCCAGCATGTTGCCCTCTGGAGACAGGGGACAGGACTTGGTCCTAGAATGAGACATCCCCCCATATGGCCATTTTCTGACTCCGAGGAGGTACTACACTAGTTCTGTGATACAAGGCACTGCACAAGCAAACTTCTCATCAGGACCCTCACACATCTTCCAGTCGCTTGCATTTCTACTGCCTGCTGCAAACGAATCAGAAGGGGAACAGAAGATAAAACAGGTTAACAAGTTACTGAATTAGGCCGTGCCTCTGCCAAGGGGCAGGACAGCAGAGATAAATTCAGAAATTCCTAAGTTTACACGTTCTTGTTGCCAATGACCTAAAGGTCTGGCTTTGCTTGAAAAGCCAAATGCAGGCTGTGATAATCAGCAGTGTGGTTAAAGCATTTTAACAACATCCTACACTCCACAAAGCCTCAGGTCAGTGTTCTGCAATCTCAGGAGTTCTCAAGTTGCACATTGAAGGTTTTATTTTCAATACAAACATACAGATGGTTATTCTCGATGTGTGTGCAAAAACCCTCCTCAGGGAACAGATCCTAGAAGGGCTTGCAAGGATTCTTACTGTTGTAAATAAAATTTACTACTTAAGAACAGTGGTCCCTCCAACTGAAATGAGACTTGCTATTAAGGTAAATGAATATTTTGAAATTAATACCAACATGAGAGTGGAAAAAATTAGATCTGCAGTTCTGAAGTTAAACTCCAGTAGTAAAATCTGCTTTCCACAACTGCACATTATCAACATGGAAACACATGCACTTTTAAACAGAACAAGCATAACACAAGAGTACAAATCTGTAATAAGTCAAACTTTATTGTAAACCATTATACAATGTAATTACATCAGATACCCTTAGAAGTTTAAGGTAACACCACTGATTAAACAACATGGTCCAAACAGAGGGCAGCAGAATACAGCTGTTGGTTTTGCTCACATAGGCTATACTCTGAATTTACTTACAAACCCAACATTCAGTTTGAGACGGATACCCACACAAAAAAAAAAACCACCTACAAAAGAGTCCCTTTTTTAAAGATACTGCAGTTTTACTTTGTAAAACCATAGTAGTCATTTTCAGTAACTGAACTGGAAACTTTACCTAAAAAAGTTTGCATGCCTATGCTGTAGATCTACTCTGACTTGACGTGGATGAATTTATTTGCTTTCATTACTGGTTTCTCCTGTAAAAAGCACAGCAAAGTTGCAAACACGGGTTAGTCAAGCACAGTGGCAGATATTCCTGGTGAGGCTCAGCTCTCAGCAGACCGTGAGAGCCCACACCTCCCTCCCCAGGCACAGCTGGAATCGGAGCAGACACCTGGGAGGGGATCGCTTTGCATTGCTCTAATTTGCAACTCAGTTTCTGAGTTTTCCCTGAAGAAAAGCTATAGTACATTTTATTTAGCAACATTAACATACAGCATTTACCTACTTAAAGTAAGACAAGGGGACCTGAACATATTAAAGCCAGAATTTGAAAACCACGTATTAAACAACACCATTGTTTTAAATTTATGCAGACGTGTCACAGGTTGGATACTAGAAACAGTTAACACATTTAGGTTGACCATTCGTGGTAAATTCGATCTCCACCAACACTTCTGTGTCTCTTCTGTAAGTTACAATCCCTTTCTCTTACTTTGGCATCTACTACATAGCTTATTTTCATTAAACAGAATCACATTTTTCAGGCACAGTCTGAATTAAATCTTTGCTATACGTTGCCCTGAAGAACATTTACCAGGCATGAATTTAGAGAGCCAATTTGAGGATAATGCAAATGTCATCATGTTGCAATATTACTACTGGATCAAGTCTTTATGAAAAATGTATTATTTCAGACTGTACTCCCAATACATTTCAACTAACAGTAAGACATAGTGAAGCACTAGGCACATACTTCCTTCTCACACATATAAAACTCTTCAGACAAAAGCACTTGTCCCACTTGTACCTACTGCAAGAATTCCAATTTTTATCTTGCAAAGAGGAAAACTGCCAATTATTACATTTTCTCTCTCTTTCACATGATAACAATGAATAGAAAAAAAACCACCCAGTTTTTGTTACTTGACTAAGATTGTGAATAATTTTATCTTAGTAAAGTTAGTGCTGTTTTTTCCTCTCTGAAGATATGCTCCTCCTGTTGCTACTGTGTATTTAAAATACTTCTGTCTCTTTGGCTCATAGTGCTTTACTACATCTTGCTAGGCATATCAAAATCTCAAACCAAGTGACATTTAAGCACTTTAGACAGGAAAAATTAGCCATTCATATACCTTTACTATAACCATCTTCAAGAAACTGCTCCATAGTGCTTTACACTGTTTTGTGCCAATAAGTTTGAGGTCTGCTCAAAACAAATATTTTCACATGATTAAGGCCATAATTTTATACTGACACTTCACAGACTAAACATGAGACTAGAAATAATTTTGGTAACTTAAGTAACTGGGGAAGAGGAGGGAAAAGGAAGATAAAATGAAAGCTCATACAGTTAAATTTGTGTGCGCTGCTCAGTTATCTCTGAGGGTTGATGAGGATAGTGATGGCTGTGCAGTGGTATGTAGCATATGTTGAATAGATTCATTTCACTATCGGAAATAGAACAAATCCTATGCTAAAAAAAAATAATAAATGCTGACATTTGTGACAAGAGCCAGTCCTAGCTCTTAGATCCCTTTGGAAAAGTGATCTGTATGAGACTATTCTGTTGATGGAAATGAATTCCATGAAGTACTGTGCTTTTGGAGATACACACCTGCCCAGTGGTAAATAGTCAAGAGAAGATGCAGGTCACACAATCAACAGAGGAAAAAAAATTCAAAATCAAAAACCTAAAACTGAAGTGACACTGATTAGGGACATTTCCCCATCCCCCATTTCAGAATAACTCAATTAAGCTTTCATTGTCATTAGCTTCTGGATTTAGTCTAAAAGAAACACTAGTACTTAAACTTATTGCAGTTAAAACATTTCAGTGCACAGTAACAGAGGTCAGTGGCCCAACTAAACTCACAAACGTTGGTTTGGTAAAAATGTCCCTTCTAGCCGGCCGGACACGCTGAGGTGTACCTGAAATCTCAGAACATTGTGTTCACCTCGGCAGCCAAGCAGTGAAAAGGAATGCTGGAATAGTGAAAAGAAGTACAGGAGCGCACAGTTCAGTATCTACTAAGGCCCAAGAACCCCATTTAAGTGGTCTGGATAATAACTCACATTAAGACCTAGTAAATCTATAAAAAATGTAAAAAATCTTAAAAAGTTCTGAGCAGTTTTCCAATGAAACTGTTTGGTTTAAGGCTTGGAACATTTCTGATGTCCAGATACTACAACAGATTTGCAATTAAGGTCGGTTGTCACCTCTTTAACACATTGCCTTGTCCTGCATCAGGTTTAACTAAGCAAGGAAAGCTGTCGGAAACAATCATTTGGAAAATATGCAAAGCAAAAGGATGTCACCAAAAACATGCCTGCTAGGTTTCAGATCAGCACAGTGTTGTCAATTATCAGAAGACAAGACACTGAAAATCACAAAAATTATGTAGTAAAAACTGTATTATACCTCTTGGTTGTTTTGTTTTTTTTTTTTTAATACTAAAGGATAGCCAGACTTTATGGAAATCAAACAGGAGAATTTTTTTTTTTTAAAGGACATTAAATAGAAGATTTCCAACAAAAAACAAGGGACAGAATTACTTGCAATACTGTAGCACAACTGCTTCAATCAAATCACAGTCCTGTACTGCAGGTCCTGTATAAGGAGAAGAAATGTTCCATCTCTTTTGCGTTATTTGAGAGGTATGCGCAAGAGACTTGCAGAAACAGAAATAATTAGAGTCATCCATAGATATTAATTTCTCAAATAACCTATTACGACAGATTTTTGTTATACACTAAAGTGCACATTTGTCATATATGCAAACACCACCTCCTATTAAGGAATTTTCAAATTATGTGGTCAAAAGCACATTTAGGACTGCATTTTTAGTGATATTTGGTGACTTCAGCAGTGACAGAGTTTTTCCCTTCACAATCCCTTTGTCTTAAACCAGGACACAAGTATAAATAAGATTTTCACTACAATTATTTTGACCTGTTCTGCACAAAAAAAAAAAAGGGAACTGCACCCTTTTCTCTGACAAAGAGAATCTTTAAATACAACTGTATGAAAATATAACTTAAATATAAAATAGTCAAATAGATTTGAGGAGACTTGGAAAAAAATCTTTGTTCCACCTATTAGTTCCATAGGTACCTGGTAGCAAGTAAACATTTGTACTTAAAAAAATAACGTTAAGTTACAGCTTGTAACCATAAACTATTCTGCTCTAGGAATTATGCTGCAAAAGCTAGTTTTAGTAATAAAACACACTCCTTTAACTTAGTTGATTCTGATGCCTTTTTGAGAACATCTTAAACTGTATCATCATAAGTGAAAGATTGCTGGATCTGTTTTTCTATGATCTCCTCTGAAATGTCAGATACAAATCCTCTTAGCAACTCGTCCTTAACAACACTGGTTTTCACATATGATGAAAAGACATTCTTGCATAATTGGTCAGTGTGTCTGTAGTGCAACTGAACTGGAAGTCTTCCAACTGTCTGCATTCTGTTGGTAGACCTTGCTTTTAAGTCAGTTTGTATGAAAAGGGAGATGCAATTGCAACATTAAAACCCACTGACTGAAGTTTTTGTCATGAAACCTGCAAATACACAGGTCAGGGAATGTGTCATACAGGCAGACCAAAACGATGCTTCTTTTTCTTAACGGGCTTTAAGTTGGTCAGTCTACGCAGGTCCTCTTCAGCGTCCGATTCCTCCATCTCATCATCTGCTGAAATAAGGATCTAAAACCAAAATACAGCTTCTGAGTAACACGGACCAAAGTCACAAACTTTCTTCATTCTACTTCTAACCTTCTACTTTTTTTATGCTTGCAAAGCATCTTATTATTTGGTCATGAAAGAGCTTACAGTACATAATTTGTATTTACTGCCAGTACTATCAAACAATGTCACAATATCCTATCTGGAACCTCCAGTAAATTCTGAAGAAGGATGCATGCTTATTCATCTCTGAGTAAACACAAAGAAGTGATTCCAGTACCTCCAGAACAGTGGGGGTGGCTTGCTGTTAAAATGACAGAGAATATATAAGCTCTCTATCCACACTGGTAATAGGGCATTTTATTAGAGAAAACCTGACATAAATAGTACTGTCTAATGCAGAAAAGTTGCATTAACAGCTAAAGCTAAAACAACTTACCTGCAAAGATACCACCCATCCTTCAAGTGAACTGAAAACTGCCCACTTCATATAATTCAGAATAAAATTATGCTAAGGTAAGGATACAAATACTTCTCCAAAATCAGGCTAGTTGCCTCCACTAGCTTCCTCTCACTTTAAGCTATTAACCTCTCTTTGAATCAGAATTATCTATTAGTTTTGCATTCCTTGTGAATTCTTCTAGAAGCATGTGTAACACAGTTCACCTGTGATATTTAAATATATTATTATGTCTTCCTGCCCACCTGGAAGGAAATTAACTACAGGTGGTGCAACAATGCCATTTTTCTAAACTAGTTTTCAAATGCAAATGCTAGGAACTACTGTTAGAGGTACATGCAATAAAAATAAAAACTAAGTTCACAGTGTTACAATTAAATCAATGGCATGAGTGATGAACTGGATTGATATTGTATTAACTGCAATAATTAACTCTACATACTTCTGACTCCGACTCTTCATGTGATGCTGCTCTCCTGTATCGGACTTTACTTCCATTTCTTGAATCTTGTCCTGCTTCCTTTTCTTCAAGTTTAGCTTTTGTCTTCCCTTTTTTCATTAGAAAATTATCTACTACCCAGAACATTAATGCCTGTTAAAGAGAAGGGGGAAGTGACAGTTCAGTTTTCCCCAGAGTAGCATATGTTCATTCAATCATTATTTGGACAGAATTAGGAAAATTTGACAAGAACTCTGAATTGGTCAAACAGGTAAAGTCTTGTCTAGACATACAATCACATGGCTTATTACACACTGAATAAAGTAGCTACGTTCTAGAGTATTCATGCCTTTGTAGAAGAGAAGAAAATAAGAAAAGTAGCTGTTATTCAGAGTGATCATACATTAACTCTTCACATAGAAATGTGAATGGTTTAGGCAGACATCTTAGTGCAACAGACTTGGTTCTCAAAGGATAAAATTCATGCTTGAACAAATTAATGAAAGAAAAAAAGTCACCAGCAGTTACTAAATGCAAGGACACCCGCCATCTCTGGCTCTAGTCCCTAAATCCCAGATGACTGGAAGAGTACACTTTGGGAAGGATGATTGCACACTTGCCCTTTTCCTCTGCCCAATCACAGGGCAATAACTATTAGCTATGGTCAGACACAGGATACTTCACAGTACAGCTATCCTTAGACCAACTGTTTCCTAAAGCAAATTTCATCATAATTTTACAATCTCTATGTCAGGATTTCAGTATTACATTCAAGTTACTGAAGTCATCAGCCCAAAGAGGTCTACGAGGCATTTATGCACCTCTCCTGAGCCTGGTTATTTAGCTCAATATGGATTTCAGCTTTGTAAAATCTATATATCCAGACATTTTATCCATTCTTTAACACCCTTCCTCTTTAAAAATTAACTTAAGCACCAAGGTACACTGTGCTTTAAGGACTAACACTAATTAACACATGGCAGAAAGATACCCAAGTAAACATCTCACAAAAGTGTGCAAGTTGTACTAACATTAACAAAGAAGGGAACTATCAGCATGACGATAGCCAGCTCCAGCTGGGGGTTCTCTATAGGATTCAGTAAAGCTACCTGTGAAAAGAAAAGGATTAAGTTCAGATCATGACAGCATGTGCACATAATTGGATTAGCAAGTGCAATTGTTCATGTACTAGCTAACACTACAGAAATAATTAATATGAAACAAAAAAGGACAGCTCTGTAGAAAAGGAAAGTACTTCAGACAGCTTATAAATTACCACAGATAAGTTAAGTGGGGCTGGCAAGAAACTTCTCTCTGTCATTTTTGTTTACAGAAGTCTGAAGAGCTATGTTAGAATAATCTTGAACATTTTAGAACTCCATGCTCCCAGGAACAAATTTTAAGTTCCATCTTTGGAAAATTTAAACAGACCAGTGTTTCACAAAACACACAGTAGACAGAGATAAGACAGTTCCCAAAGGAGTCCAGAGCACAAAATAGGGACTAACTGGTTTTAATAGGCCATAACACCACGCATCATCACCTTGAGTATTACATTACACAAATTCTATCAAAATAAATATTAATGCAGTAATCAGCAATGGCTTCACTAATCCATTACATATCACTAAAATTCTACAGTTTAGACCTATCAACAAGGTCAAGCAAAGAAAATTCTTTGAAATACTACAAGAAGCAATACAAAATAGCTTTAAGTAAGGGTTAAAGAATTAAGAAAAGGAAGAAGCACTTAGTAGCTTCAAGAACACTGGGACAAGGAGATAGAATAAAATTGTATATATTGCAGTATTGGGAAAGCCTCCAAAATATGATGGGATATTCCTGGCAACGGATGCTAGAAAGCCTAATTAGCAGCATCTTAATAAAGCTGAAAGAACATACCACTACCACAGAGTCAGACAGCATTGTCTGTAGACAGTTATGCTTGAGCCAAACCAATAAACACTATTAGAAGTCTATTGCTTTACAGCTTCCACGTGAAATTCATTTGCCTGTAAAATGCTGTAAAAAATACAAACCTCTTTCCATTGAGGTATAAGAAGCACTATAATGATGATGGTTTTCTCAAATGTCATAATCATTATGTACAGAGCACACTGGCCCATCCAAGCACTGCACTGCAGTGGGTCACCTGCAAGAAAGAAGAAATGTTCAATATAATCACAGGGTTTATTTTACTTCACAGTAAACATTTTAGAAAGGCAGCACTAGAAGAGGAAGGGCAGCTGTATCCTCTTCAAGTGCCTTCTCCAATTTGCTTAGTGCTGTTCTTTCCTCTCCTGCAGCCTCACTTCAACTTTCACAAAGTATCAGTTAGAAACCGAGTAACAGGACTTTATCCAGTTCAGCAGTACCTGGTTACACGCTGTAATCTGATGAAAGCAAGACAAGCAAGATGAAAGCTGCATTACATTTGTTTCTCAAATTGTTATTTTTGACCCTCTCATGAAGTACTAAGTTTCTTAAAAGAGAAAACTTCAGGAAAACATAGTTGGGGAAAAACAGCTTTCCCTTCAGTCTCAGTAGACATGTGATGATTTCTGCCATTCTCCTAAGGCTACCTCAAATGTATTTTTCCTTTCTACAAAGTTAATTACCATAACTAAAAAAATCATAATTGAAGCAACTGGTGCAAGAACTGCTATGAAAAAATTAATTGAAGAAAAAAATTAAGATCACATTTTAGTTTCAGTCTGAAAGGGTTTGAAATTCTGCTGCATGTCATTATGGCAGAGTGAAAACCTGAGTGCATTAAGTTACCTGCCAGGACAGAATGAAGACCACAAATATTTGAACATGAAAACTTATGTAAGACTGTTATACTCTATTAAAGCAAGAAGAGGAAAAAACAAAAGGAAAAAGAGGACAGGTATGCCTAACAAGCTTTGCAGGTGAGCTTAAAGCAGCACTTCACTGGAAAACAAAAGGAAGCTTTGGAGGGACTTGTTAGCTCCATGATAGTCTTCTGCAACATCTTCCAAGGCAGCTTAAAACCTTCAGCCTGGGGATGAATAATGGGCAATGGAAATTCAGATGCCTTTATGTATTTGTAATGCATAATGGATAGTTGCTACTTCTTTTTCTGGAACATTTCTGAAAGGCTTTCAGTATTAACACTTGGTAATAGTCTTGAGACTGTTTGCTGCTTAAATGCTACAAAGAGAAACTGGTAAAACAGACTGAAAGTCTATAACAAAGCAAACTTCCCAAACTTCCTAAACCAGTTTTTTTAAGAGCTAGTGATCAACACTCAATAGTCCAAGAGGAAGATGGTTGAAATGCTCAAAGTTTACAATTATATACTACAGTTTATGACTTATCTTGAAAAAAAAAGAGTTAGAAAATTAGAAAGGGGAAACACCAGTAATTTAAAGTTGAGCAACTGTGATCCTTCTGAAGATACAAGGCCTAAATTAGATTTGAGAATTAAATTTTAGCAATTAATTTCTATACTCCACATTTTTATTAGCATTCTCTCGTTTTCTTCAATAACTAGCAAATATGAAAAAAATATCTAGTTTTAGCTACAGACTTACCACTGAAACTTTACCAGTTTATTCTAAGCTCTTTTCCAATCTGTATTTAATTCCTAAAAGCAGAACAGCTATAGCAATTTTGCATCTTTTCCAACCCTGTCACATGAGATGTTGTATCTTAAAAAATTGTGAAATTCTGTGTTAAGAGTGTTGTGCCCTATCACCAATGAACGTTTTGTCCCTTGATGCTTTTGAGGGGAAGAGCACTGGGGTTTTTTGGTACATGACTGAAATTACAAGTTGTGTATATTAAATTCTACTTGAGGATTTTTGTGTGCCCTACTGCATTTACAAAATTATCTTTCATCTCTAATTACAATCAAGGAGAATAAGGATGCTGTCTACTTTGACTTTACCAAGTCTTTTACAGTCTCCCAATAGCATCCTTGTAGAAAAGTTGTGAAGATACAGACTGGATGAGTGAACACACAATTCTGCCATAAAGGAAAAAAGCTTTCATAATGAGAGTGGTTAAGCACTGGAATAGGTTGTTCAGAGGGGTTCTTAAATCTCCAACCAGGAATAAATTAAAAATTGGACTGAACCACTCCCTGAGTAACACATATTAGCCTTGAAGTTAACCCTGCTTTGAGCAGGAGGTTGGATTATACGACCTCTGGAGATCTCTAAAGTCACTGACAACCTCTTTTGAATTCCGATTTCATACCTGTCATGTATAAATTATGTCTCGAATAAACTAGTGAATCAGTAGAAATCTTGTTACTGCAAGAAAAGTGCATTAAGACTGAAACTGAAAAACTTTGAATTCTCAGCAGTGACAATTGCAGCAGCATTTTTTGAAAATGCTGGGCAATGAAAAACTAGTCTATACTAGTGTATACTACTTTCATCAGCCATTTTGAAGAAGCAGGTTTATAGACAGCTCTGGAACAAAATACCTGTGATTCTTCCATCCTGTAACTTCTCTCTTCTTCAAATCCTTAGAAATTTTCTTAAGAAAATGCCAACTTGCAGAACTACTCCAAAATAAATTTGTAAAAATTTTAAAGTAAGTGCTATCTACCCTATATGGCTGTAAGTAAGTTGCTCTGCAAGTCACAAAGAGTTAGAGGGAAAAGACTCATCAAATACAATTTCTGAGCTTTGCCATCTGAGAAACAAAAACAAGCATGATTTAATTGCCAATAGAGTTCATTGTCACCAAGAAGGATTTAGTCACCTGTTTTCTACTTGCAGCAGCTGAAGTAGCCTAAGACAAGAAGGGAAGGAGAACGCAGGGAACATTCTCTTCAGTACAGATCATGACTGCTTTTCTCCTCTTTACATAGTCAAATATATTAACTGATTCTGCATTTCTATTAAAATCCAGCTGCTGATGTAATGAATCTGAAAATACAAAACTGGAAATATGAAGACAAATCTAATACTTAAGAATTCTGACAAAAAGTTATTTGAGGGAGCGTCATGCTACTTTGTTCGTAAATCAGAGTGCAGAGCTGTTTTGCTATACAAATAGCAACCATTTATGAATGCTGATATTTTGGTATCCATTCTTTCGTTGAGGCATTTATGCTTAAAAACTATCCTCCATATAAAGAAGAGGCTTTTAAAACCAGTAGGACACTGCTATTTTTGTGACAGCTTCACAGTAGTGAATCACCAGGGATCAAGTAATAGAGCAAAGAATGGAAATGAAATCACAATGAGAATTAACTTGAGACAAACTATTTAGGCTCTACAAACACAAACACTCACCACTCAATCACAAGAAGAGACTTGGTTTTTGGAGGGGCTCTCAGTTGTTTTCCCACACTTGCAAACAAATGGAAATCACACTGATCTACAAGCTGAGGACTTGACTGCTACAGATAAAATACCACAAGTCTCTGATACCTTCCAACAAACAAACACCTCACCACTCATGTATGCTAAACATCCATATTTAATTTCAAAATACTAAGTATAAACACACTTGCAGTCCCACAGGTTTACATTTTAGTCCTCTTCTACCCTACTTATTTTAAAGAATCTTATGAAAAATAAGTAAAGAGTTTTCTTGTGGCCCAAAGTGAAAAATTTTAAACACAATGGTAATATGAGTGTTTTCACTTCAGAAACATCAGTAGCACTTAACAGAAGAGGGCAGCAAACAATCCAACGCAACTTGTCCTTTTCAGATAGATTTCTTACATAGGGTCTAACTTTTACTGCACAGCTACTACTAATAACTTTCCATCTGCTAACTAGTTCTCTTTATGCCAGAAGCCTCTCCCACATGATTAATGGAAATCCAGATTTACAATATGCTTTTTAATAGTCCTTACGATAGCTCGATTACAAAAACAACACACTAAGGTCAGGACAGCACATTAATGAAGATACAGAAAAGAAAGTTAGTCACTAATAAGATGATCTGATATTGGAAAGGACAACTAAGTAAAGATTAATTATATAAATTTCATACATCACTTGTACACACACACACAGAATAAATACTTGATAACAAGTTTAGGCATTTCAGATCTCCCAAACCAAAATTACAATAATGGATCAGTTGCAGACCACCTCCACAGCAATACACAAGGTCATTTGTGGATTTTAAGAGCTTAGTTACTGCAGTCATAGATGCCTCATAACTAACTAAAATAAAAACAGGTTCATTCTGGAAGTCAATAAGAGAGGCAAACTCCAAGAGAGTGAATTTACTCCACACATCTTCCCATCCACACAGACCGCTTATTGTCAAAAGGACATTAAAATGGGAGATGAGAACACATTACACAAGAAAAAACAGAATGCTTTTAGGAAGAAAAAAAAAAATCTAGTATTTGACATGATTACAAGTACCTACTCTGTAATTGCAACAGATACACTCATATGCTCTGAGTGAAAAGCCAATTCTATATGGGCTAAAAGTTGTTCAAACATCTTTGAATGGCTTCAAGCCAAATCAACCATCAGAAAAAGGCACTTTGGGCAACACATCTCAAAGCTCAGGCAGAAGGTGTAGCTCAGCAACGGCTCAGCTCTTCCCTTGCCCTTTTCCCTTCCCTGGGCACTGGTGCTTACCTAATCCCTTAGAGAACCAACTCTGGGGACTGATCTGGAGGAACTATTTATTTTTCTACATATGGTGAATTTTCTGATGGTTTAGCTCACTGAATCAGCTCCCTGAAGAATCAGATGTGCACCAGTCCAAGGAAAAAAGTGGAAATACTGGATCGCGGCATGTGGGAAAAAAGCAGATAAACAGGGTTGCAGCAGTGCCGATTTAAACCTCTTAAATGGCCATAAACTGCACTTTAAAAGATATACATTAAATCTATATAACAAAAAATGTCCTAATGGTACAGGCGGTTACTTCTCCTAAGATAGATGCTTGTCATCATCTCTATTTTAAACCTCTGACATTAAAGTAAATAGCAATTAATGCTATTTGATTTAATTGTAAACTTCCCAAGCTTTTAAAGTACTTCAACTTGGCAAGGCCTTTATTTATGTATTCTTAATTCTGTCAGCCACTTAGCATCATTAAAAACAAAGAAACCTAAAGAACCAAGAAACTTACCAATAACAATTATGAAACTGCAATTAAAGTTTTTACTTTGTTAGGAAAACACTATTTTAACTTTTCCACAAATACAGATTTTTGTTTGTTTTTCTCTCTGATGAAGAATCATACAAAGGCAACCTCTCTCCCTACCTGAAGGAGCTTCAAATGCAATTTTATCATTCCACTCCCAACCAGCCAGGCTAAGCAACCTGCAAATAACAGGTTGGACAGAATCAAGTGTTGATGTGGAATATGTGTGATACTCAACTGCACCTGCAAATCCACAATTTCTGCAGATCAGTGGACTTATGTGACTAACACAATGAAAGATAAAACCCACCACTTCACATGAAAGCGATTTCACTAGTCTATCCCTTAGCCTGTAGGAAAGACAAATGCATTTTTCATCAATGTGTCCTGGTTTTTAGCTGAAATAGAGCTGGGTTTCTTTTTCAGTAGTTAGAACAGTGCTGCATTTTGCTTTCAGCCTGGGACTTGTTATGAGACACTGAGAACACACCAGTGTTTGCATTTTTGTTGCTGGAAGTGAAGGACTTTGTGTTCTGTCAGTCTACAAGCACAAGATGTAAGGGGGCGAGGAATACTTAAATTAACAAGCTAAACTGGCATTTGGATATGCCAATGAGATATTCCAGATCATATCACGTCATGTCCAGTGTATTAGTGGGGACTCTTCCTCTCTTGCTCTCGCTGACTTTCGCTCGGGCTCTCGCTCTTCCAGGACTGCGGTTTCAGTTCGGGATTGTCGCTCCTCGAGGATCATCATCTGGGCTTGGTCGGTTGGTGGTGAGCAGCTGCACTCTGTACCACTCATTTGTATATTTTGTTACTGTTATCATTATCACTCCTATTTTAATATTAGTATTATTTTAAGTTTTCTTTTATTTCTATTATTAAACGGTTATCTCAACCTACAAGTCCCCTTATCCTTGCCCCCCAATCCTCTGGAGGTGGGTGGGCAGTGGGTGAACGGCTGTGTTGGCTGCTGGCCAAGGGCTGGCCCAGTGAAACTATCACACAATGATACAAGCCCTACGTGCAGGAATTCAAGTGATCGTTACTTGAGGACAAGCACAGGCCATCTTGCCATTTTCTTCACTGAAGGTATGTGGTTGTTTACTTTAAAGAGGGCTGGTAGAATTCAGTCCGTATCTTCAGACAACAGCATGTGGTTCAGTAAAAGCTTTAATAAGGAAATGACTTTCCAGTTATCATTTACTTAAAAGTGTTTCAGAGTAAATTTGTCATGCTTTTTTTTCCATGAGATTAGCCAATACTGGAATTTGGTCAATCACTCCTAAAAAAATAAATATTCAGGCAGTTCTTCTGAACTCACTAAACGCTTAGAGATTTGTTCAGCTTTCTAACAGAAGGTGCATTCTGAGACACAGAACTTAAAACAATCCTTGTGACAAATGAAATACTAAAATGACCACTATAGTAATTGTAAAATGATTTTAAGATGAGTTAACCACTAGCTGAAATATCCTGAGATTCTATCCTGAAAATAATTTCAGTATAAGAACAGAAACATTTACCATATTCACCAAAGCGAAGGGACTCCCACTGCTGCCATTCCACAATGCTGCTGACTGCACGTATGCCAATGTAGATTAACAGCATTCCTAATGTGGCATCTAACAAGAAGTTTATAAGGTACCTGAAAGGAAAAACATAAAAAAAACCCCAAGGAGTAAGGTCAATTTTCTACACATTCAGTGTATTTTAACACCACAATTGATAAAAGATCTATATATTTGTTGAGAAGCCAGAGTACTGAGAATAATAATTTACCAACTTCTGTCATTACATAGTTAGCCTAAAATTTAAATAGTTTCAGAAGAGGCTCAATATTTTGTTTCTGTCCTTAAAGTTAAACTCCAACTCCTATTTTCATGAACTCTGGCATGTCTCCATGCATATTCTTTATAAACTCCAATATTCATTTTGCTCCTTTAAATTAAAACCAGATTTCCTCTTTACCATTGCTCAGTTCATTCTGCATGGAAAACCTGTGTTTGAATAAAACCAAAGGAATAAAAGGAAAAGGAATAAAAAGAGAAGTTATCTTGAAGACACCTCAAGGAATTGGAAGGTAAAGAACCCAACTCAAAACACTTTCATTTGGAGGGGGAAAGACATCACAACCAGACAGTTTTTCTTGCTCGAGGGAGCCCCCTCTTAGCCTCAACAAGCAGTGAGCATTGGAATGCCAGACCTAGAGAGTACAGCCACTCTCTAGGCCAAATTTCAACTTAGTGTTAGGAAGAAGTGCCATTTACTTTTTTGTATTTCCGTTCTTATCCAATAAGCATTTGTAATTATCAGGAACAAATCTTCTCCCCCACCCTCCAAAAAAACCCCAAACCGAAACAAAAACAAACCCCAAACCAAAATAACCCACAAAACCAAACCACCCCTCAATGGACACACAACTGCTGCACCACTTATTTTATTGTTTCAAGAAGAGCTTCTGGGATCTTACCTATGCCTCAAGAAACTAGTGATTACTATAGGTTTCAAATTAATTCTTAGGTTCATTAAATGGTGTAGCTGAATTTCAGAGCATTTTGTAAGTAGGTCTGGTTTATTTACTATCACCGACTTTAGCTAAACAAAACAGCAGCTGAGAAAGAGCCAGCTGTAAGACACATAAGTAAATCCCTGTTACTGAGATGCTTATTTGGTAATTCCAAATACTTAAGGTAAACTCTAGGGTCTAAAGGAACTTATCTGCAGAGATAAAAATAGCAAATCAGAGACCTGTAGGCTTCTGCTGGTTGTGGAGCCAAATCAGTATCAGAAAGTGGAAAGCAAAGACACAATATGTGCATTCAAAACAGTAAAGGAGAAGCTGTTCTGACCCTCAAAATCCCCTTCAAGAGCAACTCAAAAATAAAAATGAAGTGGGTATGTCTTGCTTCAGCCAAGATTTACCCATAAACTTCCTAAAAAATAGTTATTTTCTAATAGTTGTGTGCTGAATCAGAGTTTTAACAACCTTCATATTAGCCAAACATTAAAAATCAAGTTTTATTGTCTGGCAGAGGAAGCTCAGCGATTACAAGCCTACACACAAGTCACTTCAAGGCCACAAGGGGCTGCTGTAAGTCTATAGCACAAGGCAGCCATCAGGAGCAGGGAGAAGAGATGTGCCAACACGTACTTCACGGCTTCTAGCGCAGGCCAGGTATTCCTGATATTCCCAAGCACCTCAGGCTCACCACATGTAGGTAACGTGCTCATTCTATTACATGCTGCATAATCCTGCTCACACGTCACCGCTGCACCAGCACCGCCACCAAAACAAGTTGTGCCACTATCAGATAAATGCATTTGGCTGAGAGTTCAGCGAGTAAAAGGCTGGGGGTCCTACCAACTTCCTGGTGTACCACAGAGTACCTGCACTACAGAAGAAGAGTGCTGTTTGCTCTTTCTATTTAAAATTCTTCAACCAACCACCCATCTGCCGAGGTGTTTTAACAGATGTTTTATCAGCTTTGGTATCATCACACACCTGCCTGAATCACTGCACTATATTCCCAAACTCATAAATGGCAACTTCCAGTTGTTGTTCTTTCCAAGCTTTGAACCACAATGTTTTTTAAAACTACATTTTCTGGTTCTGTTCTGAAAATAACCCACAAACTACAAAACAGGAAAGAACAAAAAACTCGCCACGCTTGAATTTGCTGAGTAAAATTATTATTAACGTCACAGACAGAAATGTTGCTTTTACTCACTAGTTTTGACCCAGTTGCACACTTAAAATATATTTTTCCCAAGAAAGGACAAGTGGCTTTGATTGATACAACCTGCAATTTTTTCTGCTAACAAGGAAGACCTGCACCCTTGACTGAGAAATTACACAGCTCCACATCGCAATTTTTATTATCCTGAAAACAGTGAAACACAGTTCTCTGCCTCACTGTCTTACTTGTGTCGTGTTACACTTACATGAAAAGCAGTGTTTGAAAATAGTTATGTAGACTATATTAAAACATGTAGGAGAGAACACACGTGTTGGCAAACCTTTTATTTTGAAAAAAGTACACGGTGGAGTTATTTTTAATTTTAAAATATTGTAATAAACTATTGAGCTTCACCTTTAAACACTGAAAATTTTACACAAGCTTTGGTTAGCTTCCTTGAATGTATCCTTTAATATATCAAAATGGAATGAAAGCAATTTGCACCTGCCAGTTTTTCAGTCTATCAGGAAATCAGTAAGCAAGGAAAATCCTACAGTGATGCTTGGTATTATTGAAACTGTCATAATTACAAATTTTACAGTTACTGTGTTAAAATAAATGCATTTTCCCTATCAAAATGCTTTGTGGTGGGAAAAGAAAAGCATTGTTTTATTTGCACATTTATAGCATGTAGGAACACAAAAGAAACCAAGGAGGAATAAGGGAAATAAAACAGGCTTGTGAAGCAACACAAGCATATTCCTTGAGCTGTGTAGCTCCTTTGTTTACCAAAGGACAACAGTGAGCAGATGCCATTGAAGGAACTGGATTGGTTTTAAAGGGCAAATTATGAGGCTTTTAAAAGTAATTTCACAGCTTCTATTACCAGGAATGTGTAAGCTTCTTTGAGCATGGGCTCTAGCAAGAACAAACCCAAACAATTACCGTTTGCTTCAGGAGCTCCTGTAAAGAGCCTGACGGGTCCTAGTCATAAAATCTTCAGGTTTAATATGCCACAGTGAAATGCTTATCCACTTAGTCACACTGCTCCGAGCGCGACATTGCAAAAATTAATTTCTGTACTAACTGCCTGGGTACTGAGCAAGATTTCCTGCTTTCAACAAAATGAAAAAAAAAATACTGCAGTATTTTATATATACAGCTAACGTAGGTTTCAGAAAAAAATATAAACATGAATGATTTTTGCTAAATATCCCTGAAAGCGACCTGACTTCATATTAAAGCCTTCCTGCAGTGAACAGTGCAGCTGGAGGTCAGTGCACACAATGTTATATTAATTTCCTTTGGCCCCTAGCACCTCCTTCAGTAAACAGCCTCATATTACAATGAGCATTCCAAGTCCTCATTCATTAACTGGAGAGGGAGAAGTAGTAAGCGTTTACCCTCAGTCTAAAATCTCTATATAAAGCCCAGAAAAAACATTTCCAGGTCCTGTCAGCCATGAACTAAAAGAGTAGAACTCTGATCCTTGATTAACTAAGCTTAAACCAAAGGTTCTTGAAAATGATGGATTTTTACCATGAAAATTGGTTTCTCAGCTATATCTTGCATTATCATCCATGTACATCAAACTCAACTGCAGAACTTTCATAAAGACCAATTATTCTGAAATTAAAGACTCACAGTGAACAAGGGTCTTCTTCTGTAAGGTCTGATAAATAGACATTTGCGAAGTGGATGAACAACATCCCTATGGCTTGCTTGGAAGTATCTAAAAACCTGAAGGGAGTAAAAACAGTTTTTAAGACACAAAAAATTGTTTACAACAGTCAGACAGTGCAATTTTTTTTTAATTACCATTCCATCTCAGTTATTAATTTTCCTTCAAACGAAAACACCGGAATGATAAAGTGTTGTGGTATTTAGCTTATTTTAAAGTGTTCCATTTTAAATTCAACTTCATTTTTTTTCCTTGAATATTGCTAACAATAAAGCAGATCATACTAACTTGAAACCTTACCACTGTAAATTTAAAGTCCAGGGATACCAGGTATCATATGCATTATAAGAGCTAATCCTCACTAACCCTAGCTAAGCCTTTAATAACCTCCAGCAAACAATGAGTATTACACCTTGCTACTTATTTCAGTCCTTTTATGTTTACACATTTTTAGCAAGTTTATGGCACAGACAAAAATAAAATCCTCATCACGTACTTGTTGGTGAACAATTTAATAGCTGGCAACTGAGTCCTTTATCTATAGTATTTTGCTAAAAAGTCAACATATTTTTCTCCTGAAAGCATGAAGTGGTCCCACTGAATTTTACCTGAAGTACAACAGCTTAGACCACTCTGCAAAAGAACTAAAACCTTGAAAGCATTATCACCAAAGCAGATGACTAGAGAGAAAATAGTTTGATACTTATAGGGAAAACATAAAAAAACCCACTTAGGTACTGATTCAGTATTGACTCCAGCCCTTACCATTCCTTTATCATCATCCTTTGCACAAAACCAAACTTCCAGTGAATGTTTTATAAAATGTTTAATATAGGAATCAGTTTAAAAGTATTCTGTAGGCAGGAATGTCTTCTTCAGACCAACACCCATTTTGCCTGTTGTACCTGTGTCTAAAGAGATCCAAACACCCCAACAGATGCAAACATTTTATGCCTGAATTAGTCTCCCCTCCCTGACAACTCTGTCTTGCATTCATTGCACAACACAGCAAGCAGAGTGTTGGAGATGAGGCAGGAAGCCAGTGACTTCGTTATCTAATCAGTACACCATACTATAAATAACAATACTCAAGTCCCAGGCAAGATTCTTGGCTTAAAAATTAAAGGCTGTCACTGCACTACTCAGAATTTCAGGTTGAGGTGGACTGTAGTACACAAGCATTTCGTATTTATTTTTTCAATAAAATACAAGGTCAGGATTAGTTTTGAAAAGCAACATTGTACCAGATTAATTTAAACAACTGAAGTCTTCAACAACTGGAATGACACCATTGACACCAGTCTCAAAACTAGTACAGGTTATGTTGGCATTGCTTTAAACTTTAAACTTTATGTCTAAATGCACATCTTTACAGTCAAAACTAGTACAGGTTATGTTGGCATTGCTACAATCCAACAACTTTTAAAAAGTAATGAAAACAAAAATGCTTTTTATACCTTGTATTCTTTTATGGTTCACGTATTTCTATCTTTTACCGTACTGTTTTCCATCTTGTATGCAGTAGGATAGCTACAGAACATGGAACTTTGTTTAAACCCAGCCGAGAGCTTCTTGTAAACTTATGTAAGTTTGTAGATGTTCAGAGGCATCTTAGGGCAACTCTAAGTTTCCATCTTCAGGAGGAACCAAACTTTAAACTTTATGTCTAAATGCACATCTTTACAGTGATTCCTGGAAATGTTTAGCAAGAAAAAAACTAGCAGGGAAACACACAGAAGATAACTTTCTGCTGACTCATGTATTTTGGTAACTTTTTTTCTGTTCCTCGCTGTCAGTCACCAATTCCTCGTCATCGCTTTTCTTTTTTTTTAATCATCATATGCAAACAATCATTCCTTTAATTTCTAAAACGTGAAAGAAAAACAGTTTCAGAATAAAGCATGCAGAAACATACCATATCCTCCAGGGACGTCTTTCATGCTTTGGTTCTCTGAAGCGTTTTACTAAGAAGAAAAAATAAATAAATAATTGAGCACAGTCACCAACTCCCAAAGCAACAAAAAGGTAGAAAAGCAAAAACAAATCATCTTGCAGAAATGTTACATTTTTTTTATAAATTAGATCTTACACAACTTTATTTCACTTTATCAATCTCTAAGGATAAACTTTTAAAGAAACTGGCTCCCTTCCATCACCTTCAAGTTCCTACAGCTCTATCATCTGACTGCCAATATACCTTACATGAAAAAATAATCTATTATAAACCACCATTTCATTGGCCTTAACTTTTATGACTGCCCATCCAGAAAATTTAATTTCCAATAGGAAAGCAGGTATTAGAAAAAGTAATTTCTTTTGCTCACTGGAGACCAAAAGTCAAATTGGAAAGTATTCTCGCAATATAGGGGCAATCTATAATATCAGAAATAAATCAAGTGAATTAGTAACAGGACAAATATATTCTCTGACAAAGATTATTTATTTTATGGATGACAAATTAGACTTTTGTGGGCAAACTGAATTGCAAAAGGAACACAGGACAGATTTTTTTAGTCAGATAATCCCTTAACAAAAAGGTTGATACTTGTTAACATATTAAAAACTAGAAAAATCCAGTATTAAAATTAAAGCCAACTATACAAAGGCAAAAAAATTAGATAAACTTTACTATTTAAATCTTGATACAGTTGATAATACAAATTGTTTGGGTATCTGATAGAAAGCTCCTCTGCGCACCTACAAAGGAGGGGAAGGTCAAATCACACCCTGCCCAACTACTCCCAGGTCCATCAGCCCATACCAGGTCCATCTCCACAAGCCCAGAGCATCAGAAGCTCAAAGGCAGATGATGTGGAAACACAAATTATGGACTTAGAGGATGGAACAGCTGTCCCAGGAGAGCCTCAGCCCCACTGCCCAGAGGTGACACCCAACTTGGGAGAGCCAGCTCTGAAGCACCTTTGGGAAGGAAGTGGTCAGTGCATCAGGATACGGGACAGATATGGGATGCAGGGGAAGAGCATTTTGGGATTGCACAAGACTTCCTATGGATTGTTTAGGGGAGGAACCAAAGGCAGGGAAAGGGAAGGATCTAGATGACTCATGAAGGAACATGTGTGGGAAAACAGAGGGACAACAGGATAAAAACAGTCACTCGTTCATAAACATACACTTGTATGGTCCATACACTTGTACTGCCTGACCCACACCTTTTCCTATCTTAGGAAATTCCATTTCTAATCCTTTATGGGCACAAAAACCATTTTCCCTACTGGGAACACATGCTCAGTCCTGCCATGGGTCAGACCGGGGCCGGGAGCCACGGCAGCCTCGCCTCTGCCTGATCTGGCCTAGTTCTGTAACACAGAGTTATTTTCCGTTACAGCTGCAAGATACTAATTCCTTATATACCCCAAAGACAGACCAGAGATAAAAGGGTAACGGGAAACCTTCCCACTATGGATGTGTTTTATATATGGGTTTTATATCCCTCTTCTGTCCAAGGTTCAGTGTCACTCACCAGTTTCTTCAACATAAGCCTTTAGAAATAATTATTTAGGTTCTTATTTCATAAATTATCTCTCTCTCAAAAAAAAAAAAGAAAGAAAAAATTTTAAGCCCTGATTCCCTTCCTCCCCTTCAACTTGCAGAGATTCTGTCTTAAAAGACACAAATCATATCAGGTATAGGTCAGGCAAAACAACATTAGGTATTTTAACCCACTTCTGCAGGATTTAGTTTCAAACAGGATGCTGTAAGTAACGCTTACCCAGTTTACAAGCCTTTAAAACACATTTTAGTTTATGAACGACTCACAACTTTATCACAAGTAAAGTAATTCTCCCCAAAGCCAACTGTCCTCATACAATATGGCATTAAAATAACTACCTGCATGCCTTAAAATAATCACCTCCCCAGTGGAGGGGCAGCACTTGCAGGGAACACCAAGCTGACAACTTGCCATTTTACTGTCTGCCCTGTTACTGCTTCTGACAGCAGAGAGAGAAACGGTGTTTCACCCCCAGATAATACGACCATTAGAAATTAAAAAGTGACAAGAGGAAAAGACCGCAGATTTACACCAAAGATACAGTTGTAACAGCAACATTTGCCAGCAGTTTTCTCTGTGAACAGCATGCCATAAATACAAAACTTCTGTTAAAAATGAGCAACACCCAGCTACGTTAACCAGTTTGCTGTTTATGACAAGTCCTCCCCTGTCACACTATGGATTACTCTAATTAGTGTAACTTTTGCACAACAACAGGAAGCTACAAAGCAACACAAAATAAATGCAAGAAACAGAAGTTTCAACTTACTGTGGAGTTTGTGCAAGATGCTTTTCTGCAGACAAAATAGAAATTAAACTGGTAAGATTTGCATAGTTTGAGGGGGAATCCAAGCTTAGGTTTTTGTCTATTATTACTATGAAGAAGTTGTATAAGCCTGTTGATTCATTTCTTTCTCTAAAGTATTCATAAAAAAATTGTTTTGGAAGAGGATATTCAAATAATTCAACCAACACCATTTCAAATTTTATCCATCCTGAGAAAAAGACTTCAGAAGGTCCACATTTCCCTGGCCAACTCTGAAAACAGAACATTTCATCTGAGGTAGCATTAAGCAGGAGAGTTAACTTTGAGAGCTGCTACAAATGTCTGTCAGAAACATATTAAATGGCTGATCACACCACAAACTTCTGCCCCTCAAATGAAATCAGACAATTGGTTGTCCAGTGCTTTAGGAGTTGCTACCTGATGAATATGCACCTGTAGACTTGAAAGCTCAGTAGATCCATATGAACCAGGGTTGTTCTCTCAGCCTCGTTTCTTGCAGCTCTATGTCTGTGAACATCAGGTATTTCTGACACACACAGATATTGCCAGGTATTTCCCTCCACACCAGATGCAGTATCTGGGTTATGCTGCTGACCCAGCACTATATCCTATCACATCAGACTGATATAAATTGAGAGCAAATTAACTTCTCCCCCAGCAAAGCAGCATGTTCTCTGCATGGCTGTATACAGCTGGGGCCTTCCCAGTATGTTAAATGAGCAAAAAACCAACAGGCTCTCCCACTGGGAAGCTCAGGGTCCATAGTGTGTTTTCTATTAATAAATTAATTTTGCAACCAAAAAGCCAGGACACATTTTCAAATAAAGATTCTGTAAATTTTTTAAGCATCTATCGAGTTGGGGAGGGGAAAGCAATTCTTCCACTCGCCCTCCTCCAAAATATGTCACGATTGTAGATGTCTCAGCCCCACTCACAGTTTCTCTTGGCAGTCTGCATTGTCTCATGGTAAACTCAGAGACACGCACCCGTGCGTGTGTCAGCTGACAGATGGATCTCAATCTGCCAACTTCTCACTGTGAGGAGGTGGTACTGCTCCATATGCTTCAATTTGGAGTGTTATCCTCACACTAGCAAGAATTCACCATGTTTAATATTAATTAACTAATAATGTTCAGAATTTCATGCTGAATAATAAATGAAGAAAGAAGCGCTGCTTGTTTATACATTCAATGCCAGAATTTTTCAGGAAAGGAAATAAAAGCACTTCTGCCAACAAGCATGTGAGCTGCCAGATGGACAGATAATAGATAAGCATATCAGGCAGAGTATCACTAATGCAAAATTCAAGTTCATTAAATTGTCTTCCCGTTTCATTGAAATTCTAGGAATAATTAATGCCAGAGTACTGTGGAAGGGTTTCTAACAGTTACTTTAACACAGGAGTTTCACAATCAGTATTCCAGAAAACTGAGGACTCACAGGAAGAATAAAGGCCATGGATAAGAACAGAGACAAGAAATAAAGTCAAACTCTCCAAACTCTTAATACTGACTCTGTACTTGCCTTTCCTCCTCTCCTTCCTTCACCTCCTCAAAAAGTCCCAAGGGAAATATTTTGCTGATGTGAAGTAACTTCAATATGGATTCACAAACTCCAAGTTCCCAGACGGCGGCTCTCGTGGCAGCACAAAACTGGCCCAAATACAATGTCTGAAATCTTTCTATATATCACGTATTACTGCACTTCTTTGACATGCATTCTGGCAGTTCACAGCAAGAATCTTTCTGACCCCAGGAAAGATCTAAGAAAATTTCTCTAGCTTATTAATTTGAAATTCCAAAAAAAAGGAAAATAAGCTAAAGAATATTCACCATGTTTGATGTCCTCTGCAGCTGTACTACAGTAACGCTGCCCTTCTCAGGAGAGAATTGGGAATTTCACCTGAATTTCCAATGCTTCTCAAAACTTTTTTCAAAAGTAGGTCAAAGATAAAGCATGTGAGAAAATGTTTAATTTCATAAACCTCCTACACACTTCTGTCATCAGACCTCAGCAAAGCAACAGTTGAGCTAGCCAAACAGAAGAACACCAAAAGGAGGAAAAGTTAACGAGGGTAAGATCACATTTGCACATCAGTTCCAGCAAGGACAGAATCAGACCCTCCTTGCAGGTGCGCAGGCAGCGGGCACAGGGAACAGCCACAAGATGCAGCCAGGGAAATTCCAGCGTGATAGAAGTAAAAAATTTCCAATGAGAGCAATTAAACTCCGCAACAGGTTGCCCAGAGAGGGTGCAGTGATCAGTCTCACAGACCTGGAAAATTCACCTGGATGATGCTCCAAGAAAGAGGACATTGGCCGGCCATGCTCTGAGCAGGAGGTGGGAGCAGGTGACATTCAGGGTTGCTTCCAACAAAAATTGGTCTGTAAGTCTAAATATCATCTTTGTGTGATATGATGCTTAAAAGCTCCGAGATTTAAGTCAATTACCAGAGGACCAGGCTGACCAGAAGCCACAGACACACAAGTATCTATGTGTGCAGAGAATTTAACCATGAGAAATCTGCTGCAGTTGGAGTTTCCATACGGTGTTATCTCACAAAAGCGTCGGATCTCCTCCAGCTTTGCTGACCTTCCCGAACAACGTCTCGCGACCAGACAGATCCTCGCACACAGCCCTCATACTGCAGCACCGTTGTGATCTGC